GTTAACCAAAAAAGCCAAAACCCAATCAAATGTAACCTATCATTATAGTTTCGTCAGTTTCTTTTTTTGCTTCAGTTACAAATTTTAGCCAATAGCCACATATAGATCGCACGAGGATGATTCATATTATTTCTTTCCATTTTTAGTTGTCACACTTTTCTTTGCACAATTATAGAAACATTTAGGTTAAATGCTGTTCCTAAACTTTCAATTTTTAACAATTTTAGTTTTTAAACTATTTTTTACACTTAAGTCATCTCCCAACTGTGAAAGGTGCTTTTTTTTGTTATTTTGTCAATTTTATCCATTAAGTCCATCAGGCAAGCATTTTTTAATTTCTTTTAATGACATAAATGTGCATAAAACAAAAATTCAAGGATTAAAAAAGTCAATTGTACAAACTTAACGAACACAACTAACAGAAACACCAAAAAAGTTCATTTTTCACATAAGAGAGAAAAAAAAAGTTCAAAAAATAATTTAAGACTAAAATTGTTCAAAACTAAAAGTTTAGAGAGTAAATTTTGGCATTTAACCAAACATTTATTTAGAAAAATAAAATCATTAGGGCTTTAAATTCAATATTTTCCCTAGATTTTTTAGTAACAAAAAAACTTTTCTTTTAAGAGTTTTTTAATATAAAGTTAAAATTAAAACGAAATTTTTAGAGTACTATGTTTTTGCAATACAAACTATATTGGATTATAAAACATGAGTTATTGGATTTTTTTTTTGCCATACAAGCCATTTGATGGGGATCCCCTTCATCATCTGATAGTTTATGTCTCTTTTGAAATATTTAATATCTATATATTTAAAAAAAAATGTAACAAATAAAGATAAATGAAGGTGGTATACGTTCTTATATAGGAGATGCTTATAGTGCTTTCTAGACAATATAATGCATAATGTGATGTATCATTAAATAAATAAATATATAAAATATTATATATGATTCTTAAAAAAAAAAAGAAGCTAATAATATAATATTAAATAAATTGTCACATTATATTTTTTGTGAAATATTATATAAAAAAATAATGTGTTCTTAGTTTTTTTCTTTTTTAGATGTCTTGAATCTTGGGTTTTGTGGTTTAGGCTTTAGCCCCAAACTCCCATGCACTAACAAACGGTTTGTTGATTCGAATAAAAAGAAGTCAATTTCCCTTAAATAATATTTTAAGTTCGAATCTTATGAATAAAAAAATAAGTACTAGAAGAACTTTCTCTTATGAGATCCGATGCGATGCGATTCGATTCCAAATTAGTGGAGACTCAATGAGTTTACCAGATATTGGAAGATTAAAAAAAAAAAAAACTCCATTCATTAACAGTTCATGATTTGGTCAGAATTTGACCTCTAACTTTCTGAGATCAAAATTATTATCTAAATATCATAAAAACTTCATTTTTCTTAATCATTTTCATTTTAAATATCTTAACTATTACACACAAAATCAGATCCACAAACTACAATAATTCATACAAAGGCTTTATTTTATTATTTTAAAATTTAGGTTAATTAATACTTTATATTTTTTTAAAAAAATTTTTTGTTAGTAGTAATATAGATAAAGAATTTAATGTTCCTATTTAATTTTTAAAGAAGCATTTTTAAATAATTTTTTTACTACATCAAAGCTTAGCTGTTTAGGCTTTTTTTTTTTTCTTTTTATCAAGAGTTTAAGCTTTATTTAGTATATATAGTTGTACTTTTGAGTTTTTGGTTTCAATTTTAAAAACTTTATAAATCCTATAATAAAATTAGAAAATTATATATAATAATTAACTTTGAAGTTTTAGATATTAGTTTTAAAATTTTTTGCTTAATAAGATACCAAATTTAATTTTTAATTTTGGTTTTAATTTATTAACTTTGATTGTTTGAATTTAAAAACCAAAAACCATATCTATACTAAACGAAATCTTAGTGTCATAAAAATTTGAACTACTAGCCTTGCCACAAATCAATAATTTTAAGCTAATATGTATAACAGTTTTTGACTTAACTCCTATTATTATAAGTATTTTTAAATAGACTATGCTACAGTAATAATGCCACAAAGAATTGTAGACTTACTTACAATCATGATATGATATTAAATGAAAATATATAAATAAAAAAATTTAATTATATAATGACATATAATATTATGAACTTATAATATTATATAATATTATAACTATAATATTTTTATTTTTAAATAATATAGTTCAATGCTTTTTAGACTTTCTCACGCATAAAACATGAATATTCGACACTCTCACCACTTAGGCTCTTGCTAGGGATGGCAATTTCCTTCGATTCTCGTGGGGCCCCACAAGGATTCCATCACGGGGACGGAGCGAAGAGAAATATTCCTCCTCGCAAGGTGAGGATAGAGAACATTTTCCCTCCACGAAATTTCGCAGGAAATTTTTCTCGCCCCACGGGATCTCGTGGGAATCCTCATCCCCGCAAAAATTAAATTAAAACAAATATAAATTAATCTTGTTTTAAATTTAATTCACATTTTAAACTCAAACATAAACTCAAGTTCAAACCCAATTCAATCAAAATTAAATTTAACTCAATTTTACCCAACCCAACCTAACCCAACCCATTCCCCTACATACATTTAACCCTAACCCTAATTCATTTCTCAATTTTGATTTTCACCTTCCTTGGCTTTCGCTCTTCTTCTGTTATGTGACTCTACCATCTCAATGCCCTCCATTCCATTGCCACCCTTCTATGATTCTACCCTTACCCTTCTCAGTGCTCACCTTTTGTAGCCCTTATTTTCCCTTTTGCACCGACCAGATCATCTCAAATCTCATTCCCTCCACTGCTGTTTTGTTATGGCCTTGCCCTTCTTGGTACTAATTTTCTTTATTTTCAAAATATTGATTTTTTTTATGTTAGTTTAATTATGTTATTTATGTTGGATTAATTTTTGCTTATGTTTTAGTTTAACTTGGATTAATCTTTGTTTATGTTTGAAATAAATTTGTTAATTGTTAGTTTAGTTATTTATGTTGAATTGATTTTTATTTATATTTGGACAATTTATATTTGATTTTATATTTAAAAATTTTAGTTAATT